TCGGGACCTAATTGATCCTAGTTGCTAAACATTTGCAAAACCTCAAAATCTCTTGTTAATGGAATGGTCTGTGCTCAACATTTGTCTATACACATGCTCATTATAATAAAAACTAGAAACCATAAAGTTATTCTTTCTGAATTTTCTTAGATAGGATAGGAGTGTGGATGAGTTCGAGTCGAGAAAAACAGATAGTTTTTGCAGAAATAAGTGTCGAATCCCGATAGTCCTTGTGTTGTCTTTCTACGACTTAATCACTAAACGCCAAATAAAAAAAAATTCTCTACTAATTTTACACACAATAAACTTGTACAACATGTAACAAAAACCCTGTAGTTCCCGCTAATTGTGATTTGAAAATCAGTATTCAGACAGAAATAACTTAACTTCAGAAAACGCAACAACAAAAATATAGAATTAAATTTGAATACATATTTATTGACAAATTCTATGTGGGTTTATTAACTCTGCATTGGCCGGAGATAAGAGTATTGTCGAAGACCCGCGCTTACCGATGCGCCTGTCACGTAGGTAGTAAGGTTGAATTTAGTTCCCTATTGTTAACACTAAATTCCATCTATTAACATTTAAAAAAAATCATTGTCATAAATTCCAAACCAATATAGTATTTATAAATCCCTAAAAACAACCGAGTTGTTTAAACTTTAAATAATCGTGAAAACACTTTCTAAATCCATAAAGTAGTTTTAAAGTTTTAAGATTAATGATTGTACATATTATGTTGAACTAGCTTTTGCCCGCGGCTTCGCTCGCGCAGGAAACCTACCTAAGGAAGTACCTAAGGGTTAAGACTATTTTTTTTTTCAGTCTATGTTGAAAGTACTTCTTTATATACTACATTAGAGGTTCTGCCTTCAGATGCTTATACGACCAAGTTGTTAGATGAGCTCACCCTCGAGCAGGCCACGTAAAACTGACGTAAAACCACGTAAGACTCCGCGGAAGATTACCACAATTTGGAGCGGTGCTGAAGTCCGAGCTGCTGCCGACGGCAACGGTCTCATAAGGTCTACCACACTCAGTCACACACAGATACACATCACTGACCCTTACTTCCCATGCACCATACAACCCCATGCGATCTGACCGAACCGTGAGGGACCAGTCGCCTTGGATATAAGGTAAGTAAGCTCAGTTTTAATATTCTCCCTGTTGAATGGCAGTAGGATAGAACGCTCCCCCTTATTGTTTATTGTAATTAGAGATTTTCCACTTTGGCCTTAGGAGGCCCGACCTGCATCTGCCTGTAGGTTCTTCCTTCATGGGCCGGGAGGATCCTACTCTTGGATAGGCAGCTGCACGCCGTAACAGTACCATTCACAGTCTTTAAGTCTTCAAAAGATGTCGGTCCTCTAACCTCATGGAGCAGCATGCGTCGGTGGTAGCACTCGGTGTTGTTATGATGAATGGTGGGTCTACCCAGAACGTGCTCTTTTCTCACTCCGGGCCAGCCCTCTACAACTAGCCCTCTTTTACTTCCAGAAAATTTATTGTTGTTCCAGACAAAGTAAAAAGGGACTTCAGAGTACAGCAGTGGTTTGGCATAATTGTCCGTTTTGCAGATTTCAAAAAACGCTAGTAGCGTCTGTGGCTGCCTGTGCTGTCTGTGGTGAACTCTTTATTTTTTTTGTAAGGTTATTAGAGGTAAAGTATACACGTTGGCCGTTTTCAAGGTGAACAGCGAGATGTAAGACGGGAGGGGTCCTTTCATGAATGGGAAAGCTTAAGATCCTCCAAACTGCTTCGGAACTACTTATGTACCAGCCGCTTTCATACTCACCTCATCTTTCTCATTCTCTATAGCAAAGGCTGATTGATCACTACCCTTGTTCACGTATTTACAAATATACTTGATAGACTTAACAGAGCTGCAGTACTCCACATTAATATGAGAATTGAAAGTACGTAATAGGACAGGATTGCAAGGTACCACCCAGCGGTTTCCCAACTCAATTTCATTATTTTTTATTGTGTAACCACTGTCCTGTTTGTGTATCCTTGAGAATTGGTCGAGGATACCTCTTACTGCAGGTACCATCTTTCATGCAGGGCGACTTGTGGTTTAAACTACCGCAAGGGCCATGTATCATGTTGGCCTTCACAATATCGTAGAGGAGAGGGTCTTGCTCAGGATCAGGTATTTCAGCTCTAATAACATTGTCAATCTTATCTGGGGTGATACGCTGATCTAGCCATAGTAAGATGTGAATAAAGGGAAGATCCCGTTTTTGCCATTCAACCCAGTATATAAAGCTACGCATCGCCCCAAATAGCTTGCCTTTGGTTAGAAGAGCCATCATATTTTTCACCTTAAGGTGGAATACCCTGGCTATAATGTCATGGCGATCATGTGACTTTTGGCCAGGTAAAAGCATGTATGTGATGTCTTTCCATCGAGGGTTACACTGAAATGTTATAAAGAGACCAGGACGGCCGTATTGGCGCACGTATGTCATGGCGTCTTGTGTACGCTAGTGCATATAACGTGGTCCCCCGGTAAAAGATGACGGCAGCACCACCTTTTGACCTAGCTGCTCACCATCAGCATCCTGTCTCCCTATGGCATCTCGCAATCTTCAATCTTTCCGTCTCTATTATCAAGCGGTAGAGAGGCTCGAGACGGGAGCTGCACCTTACCAGCGCTACAGCACATGCTGGGTGCCTCCTCTTCCACTTAAGGGCATTGCACCACCGGCACTTGTTGGTCATGGAACCCAAGGCCACGGTGCTGCCGTTTTCATACTCTGTATCGATATCATATGCCATGCCGGAGTAAGCCTTGATTTTCCAAGAACGTCGCTTCCTTTTTACTCGTCTTCCAGGATTATTTTGCTCATATCGAGACTTGATGCCTATGCACCTCAGGGTGAGCATACTAGTACCGAGCCACTGCTTTTCTGTTCACTGCTGGGTGTTTTTGCGCATACTTATTTGAAGTGTTTTGAAGTTGTAGACCATTTGGTAGTAACGGTAAGATATGATGATTCAAAAAGAGATGAGTCACAATTTGATTCTGGTGGCGGCGGCAAGATAGTAATCATTTCAATTCTCCTCCTCTTGGCGACGACAGCGTGAAGTGAAGAAGAGGAGGTGGGCTCGGATATTATCGCGGCCACTTTACTACGTACGTAAACATCGAAATAGCTACATGATAGACCATGTGAAAAACATAGTTCTCTCACGGGATTACCCGCAGTATCAAAACTTACATACAGTTAACCGTTACGGTAAACTTCAAATACCCATGGAAAGAGTTGCCCTGCCGCTTCCAGCTCACATAAACTACCATAAGTAAAAGGGCGTGACATGTCAATGCAGTATTCAGCGGTACTGGAGTAATTGTCCCCGTTAATGTCATGAGACATAATGGCAAACTCTTTCCAGTTGGCCACCACATGGCTAACGATTTGCTCGCGTATTTCTCTGGCCATTAACTGTGTGTCATACAATAGATAGGAGATGGCCCTAAACAGTCAACCTCCATCTCCAATTATAGGAACTACGGTGTGAGGCACCATAGTCCCATCAATTTTCAATAATTCAACAGTCATTGTGATAAATGGCAAACAAATTCTATATATGACAAACGAAATCCATATATTCAATATATTCAGTGTTTTGCGCTGAAATGCATTCTTTATAAAAAAACGCAATAGAAAATCAAATTAAAAGTACTAGAAATTTAGTGTATCAATTTTAGAAATTCGGAACACAAAAAATTGCGCTGAAAAGCACATAATAATAATAATAAATAAATAAATATTAATAATAATAATAAATAATAATAATAATAAATAAATAAATAGGCGTAGGGAAGTGACGACCCCATCGCCCGCTGACGTAACAGTTAAGTGACAAAACTGCTATGTCAGCGCAGTCAGTCAGTGCCTTGCCAAGAGGTGTGAGCGCCGTGCCTCGGCAGTATTGAGGGTGCAAAGGCCCGTTTGTGCTTACGGCCACACTATTAAACGGCGCCGGGTCTGGGCGTCTCCCGTTAATTGACGCCTAATTTAATGGATGATGGAAGATAATAGAACGCGCATAGGGCCGCTGCCTGGGGGTCGCCGGGGCGCGTCTGGAGCTGGCGCTGGACGTGACAGCTTGCGAGCCGCCAGGCTATTCCCTCATCGAATGAACCGGCTATAGCTGGGGATGCGGCTCTTCAGGCCACAGACCAGCAGCCACATAAAGAGGGCGCCATGGATCTCCCTGCTCTGGTTGATTCAGGCGATGATGGAATGGTCACCCAAGAACTAGAGCAGATGAGGAGTAAATTGGAGGAGGCGATTGTGGAAACGCGCAGTACGCCTCTCGAAAATCGACCGCGACTCCCGCGCATACCCCTAAGCAAGCGGAATCGGGCTGTCGTGAGGGCTCTCAACCCAATGCTGGTGACCTATTTGGAAGCCAGCCGGGACCTTTGCGAGACGGACTCAATTCTTTTTGGCGCCGCACTGGCAGTTTGCCGTATTGTTTGCGCCAAAATTCCCACGGCTGGACGCGCTACTAGACAAAGTAGCGCCATCCCAGCCTGGAGAAGAAGGATTGAGGACCGTATCGTAAAGGCAAGGGCCCTCATCGGCAGGCTGATAAGCTTCAGGTCGGGCAATAACAGGCCGCGAATTGTGCGCACCGTCAGAATGGCGTTTGCTGGGACAAATATCAGTTTGTCCCAGCCGGATATAGCGCAAAAACTGACGGAGCGCATAAACGACCTGAAGCAGAGAATCGCTGCTTGGGGTAAGCGGATTCGGCGATATACCGAGAGGTCGACACGGTTCAACCAGAATTGTCTCTTCCAGAGTGATCAGAAGAGGCTATATAAATCATTGGAGCGACCAATGGTACGTGGAACGGGCCAAGCACCGAATCAGGCCGACACTGTCGCATTCTGGCGCGGCCTGTGGTCAGAGCCCGTAAACCACAGTGAGGGCCCTTGGACGGAAGTTGTGGTGAGACAGTGTGCGAATCTTACGCCCATGGACCCCGTCATTATAACGCCGGACGATGTAGCTGAGGCGGTCCGAAGGGCCCCGAACTGGAAAAGTCCGGGGCTCAACGGGCTGCATCACTACTGGCTGAAGGGGTTCGTGGTGTGTCACGCTGTGCTCGCCCGACAATTTCAAGAGGCTCTCGACCAAAAGTCGCTCCCGAGCCTCTTCACTACTGGGATCACTCATTTGGTTCCTAAAGACCGGGATACCATAGACCCGAGCAAATACCGCCCCATCACGTGTCTACCCACGATATATAAGACATTAACATCCATTTTGAGCGCGAGAATCACTCGTCACCTGAACTCAAATCAGGTGATGTCGCGCGCTCAAAATGGATGTCGGGGCGGTGGTCGTGGAACCAAGGAACCACTCCTCATTGACGCGGTCATTGGCAAAGTGGTTAAACGCAACCGTCGGAACCTATCCGCCGCCTGGATAGACTACAAAAAGGCATTCGACTCGGTGCCTCATATGTATACCATGTGGCTGAAGAGGGTCCTCGAGCTGTACTAGGTTGACTGTACAGTTAGAGACTTCCTCGGGCAGTGTATGGGGCAGTGGAGTACGATCCTTTGTCATCTAGGCGAACGGATGACGGCTGCGGAGAACCACATAAGGATAAGAAGGGGTATCTTCCAGGGCGATTGTCTGAGTCCAATCTGGTTCTGCCTCTCTCTGAACCCTCTCAGTACCTTACTGGAGGGCTCCGGGAGGGGATTTCAGCTTCGGAGAGGAGGTACAAAAGTGACCCACCTTTTCTATATGGATGATCTCAAGTTATTCGCCTCCAGTCGCTCTCATCTTGTGGAATTGCTAAACGTCACTTGTGATTTTAGCAATTCTATTAGAATGGAGCTGGGGACGGATAAGTGTGCGGTCCTTCATGTCGAAAGGGGTAGGGTTGCTAACTCTGAGGGCATAGATTTATCTATGCCCATCAACATAAGGACCCTTTCCGAGGCTGAAACATACCGATACCTGGGTATGTCACAGAACATCGGTGTAGATGAGGCGGGTATGAAACAGTCAGTTTGCGATGTGTTTTATGCACGCTTGACCAAAGTGCTTAACAGCCTTTTGTCCGGTGTGAATAAGACGCACGCATATAACGGTTGGGTCATGCCTGTTCTCATGTATACCTTTGGCATACTTAGGTGGACTCAGACCGAACTAAACACTCTGGATAGAAAATTCCGCACTATAATGACGTCCCACAGGATGCATCATCCGAGATCGTCAGTAATGAGGCTGTACTTGCCGCGGAAGCATGGTGGGCGCGGCTTTTTAAGCGCGCTTACCATGCATAATCGCGAAGTGTGCAGCCTCCGTAATTACTTTCTGACGAGAGCGGATGATCCATACTATAGAGACGTTATTTCTTGTGATAAAGGACTGACCCCTCTATCCTTAGCCAACGAGCAATGGCAAGACCCAGCAGTACAGTGCATTTCCGACCGGGAGGCCGTATGGAAGGAGAAGGAGCTCCACGGGAGGTTCTACAAGGCTCTACATGAGCCTTTCATAGACACAGTCGCCTCCCTTCACTGGCTACGTTTCGGTGACCTCTTTGGGGAAACCGAGGGTTTTGTCTGTGCGATACAGGATCAGGTTATTAAGACCAACAATTATCGGAGATACATCCTAAAGGATGGCGCCGTCGACATCTGTCGAGCTTGTCGCCATCCCGGTGAGTCACTTAGGAATGTCATCTCCGGTTGTTCGGCGCTTTCTAACTCTGAGTATTTGCACAGACACAATCTAGTAGCCAGGATTCTACACCAGGAGCTCGCTCTGAAATACGGCCTCGTGGATCGGAAACTGCCGTATTATAAGTACTTGCCGGAAGCCGTGCTCGAAAATGACCGCGCCAGGCTCTCCTGGGACCGGGCCATCATAACAGACAAGACTATTCTTGCGAATAAGCCTGATATTGTGCTGATGGACCGGGCACAGTCAAGGATATTTTTGGTCGACATTACCATTCCTTATGACGAGAACCTCGTGAAAGCCGAAACAGATAAGGTGACAAAATATCTGGACCTGGCTCACGAGGTTACCGGCATGTGGGGTGGTCTGCCGACCGAAATTATTCCTGTGGTCGTTTCTGCGAACGGGTTTATCCCAGTCAGCCTCCCGGGTTATCTGAGGCGACTGGGACTCCGTGACGGACCGCTCCAGGCTCAAATGCAGAAGGCGGTGCTCCTCGATACCGCCCGCATCGTCCGCCGGTTTCTTTCCCTTTCCCCCTAACCCTCGGCCGTCTGGTCTCCCCTGCCGAGGGCTTCCATCTGGTTGGGTTTTTATATATTTATGTATTTTTTATGTATTTATTTTATTTTATTCATATTTATGTATGTTTACCATTTTCATTTACAATTATATATTTATACTGCCCAACCAGATGAGAAAACTTTATAGATACCCCAAAATAATAATAATAATAAATTCTTTATTTCAGATAATTGAAATCCATATGTGGGTTAGTAACACAATAATAATAACAAGGGTTAGTTACAGTGGTAGTACAATTGTTTGCTTAAATTCTAGGGAAATAAAATAACTACACTGTGCCGAGACAGATCATCATGGGGGAGGATAGGGCCCAGTAATCAGTCTCTGCACAAGACATTTCCACATCGGCGATGTATATCTATCAGTTACGGTACTCAGAATGCTGTTGTGACTGGCTCGTACCCTGCTAATAAGGGATGCGGTTTTTTTGCGTATGATGGCATTAAAACCGTCTGTTTGGTATGCAGCAAACATCCCTGATGCACTACAAAAACGAGGCAGTCCCAACAGCATCCTGAATATATTATTATATTGGATGCGCAGGGCTTCAAGCGATCTTTTGGTGTATTTGACCCACAGGCTCCCCGTGTATACGCTCTGGCAGTATGCTTTAAAAAGCGTAATCTTAACTTGTTTTGTACAACGGGAAAACCTGCGAGCCAACATATTACCTCTAACCGCTAGAGCCCTGCGCTCCCTTTCAATGTCAGCATCATCCTTGAGGTCACTAGTAATAATATGCCCCAGATATTTAAATTTAGTGACTCGTTTCACGTTCATGCCATTAAGGGTAACATTAACTGCAATATTGTGACTTTTACCAGCGGCCTCAAAGACCATGTAATCTGTTTTTTGACATTGTATGTGAGCCCATGCTCAGTAGCATACATCTCACATACCTTTAACATTTCACTTAGGCCTCCCACCGTTGGGCTGAGCAGCACCATATCGTCAGCGTAACTTATGTTATTAATGTTAACGCCATCTATACGACATCCGACGCGCATGCCGCTCAACTCCACGATAAGGTCATTTACATACATGTTGAAGAGCTTGGGAGACGTCAACCCCCCCTGTCTCACCCCGCACTCCAACACGTATCCTTCCGACAGAGAATCAGCCCACTTTACAAAATTAGTTTGGTTGGAATACCAAAACCTAAACACTTCCAGCAACTCGGCCGGCACGCCCCACTCCGCCAACTTTCTCCAATGTATCTCATAGGACACAAGGTCAAAGGCCTTGGAGAGGTCAAGGAAACAGGCGTATACCGGCGTCTGCGATCTGTGTAGTATTGGACAGTGTGCTTTAGGCTAAGGATTGCGCTTTCAGTAGAAAGTCCAGGTCGGAACCCGAACTGCGCGTCATGTATTTTTGCATACTTATCTAATTCCGAGTCAAACACACTGTCCAATACCTTAGCAATTGCTGTTGCAAGTGATATAGGGCGGTAGTTCCCCCTGCTCGAGATGTCACCGGTCCTGTCCTTAACAATGGGCACTACAATGGTCTTTATAAGGTCACGTGGTAAATAAGAGTGATTTATGCACATTGAGAAGAACAGGGCCAGCACTCTCAGCAGGTGAGGCCCGGCATGCCTCAGATGTTCCACACTAATACCGTCATGACCGGGGGACTTGCCACCGGTCATTCTTTTTAGAGCCTCTCTAATCTGCTTTGCAGTAACGCGCATCAGTGGCACGTCCCCCTGACATCCGGCCTTAGCACTATTCACATATACTAAGGGCCCCAGTGGGGAACGCACTTTGAAATGTTGAGCAAAAATATTCGCAATATGTACCGACTCGCTATTCCCATCCACACTCACCGGGAGGCCAGGCCTAACATCACATTTCTTGGTAGCCTTCCAAAACTGTTTAAAGTTTTTGTCCACCCTGTGCTGTGCTAGAATGTCCATTTTTAATTGTTCCTGGTTTCGTTGACACCATTTTAACCGGCTTTTGAACATTTTGCGGGACTCGTTCATTTGATCATAGATCCTTCCAGATGATGGCCTATTATACGTCAACCATATCCTGAAGTTAAGCCTGGCCATCCGATGCGCCTCTTGAACATGTTTGTTCCAGCCACAGAGGTGTCTGTTTTTACTTGGCTTGTTACAAGGTTTTTTCTTAGTTTTGCTAGCCGCATCACTCAAGACACGTACAATGCTGTCATACATCCGGTCTAACACCCGCTTGTGTTCATCCAAACTGCATAGCCCACGACTGCACTCTATAAACTCCGAGGGGAAATCAATCTCGCGTAGTCTATTGTGACAGAGTTCTTGATAATTACATATTTGTTTCTGATCTCTTTCCCCCCATATTACTGAGCTAGGATGCAAGTCGCGAGCCATCCATTTAGGCCTAACAATCCTAAGTCACATTTAACTATTAAGGGTAAATGATCAGACACAAAGACGTCTTCTATAACCTCTACTTCGACAACGGTTTGCCAGGCCGAGTTTGAGACAACACAGTGGTCCAGCCATCGTCTGCACCCGTGCGCCGCGCTAACGAAGGTGTAAACGTTAGACTGCAAGCCAAGTTTTTCTATGTCAGCGCACATCCAACTCTGATCAGAACAAAAACCAACCAATTCATTATAAAACAGTTCATGTGGGTGCGCATTAAAATCACCCAGTATAAATATGCTCTCAACGTTTTCGCTTTCAACAATAGCGCTTAATTCACCTAACACCACTGTAAAGATAGATAGGTTGTCTAACGAGTCAGTAGGCATATACACTGAGAAAAAGATAACAGTGCGCTCCCCTATAGTAGCTCTTATACCTATCAAGCGGGCACTACTGCAATCTAACACAGTAACGCTGTCAAAAATGCCCTTCCGCCAGAGAATGGCAACTCCCCCGTATGGTCTTCCCTTTAATAAGCCAACAGATGTATCCACAGCCGACTTACCTATGTATTCAAAGTCACTGGAGATATCACCTAATAGTGGAACGTCATGGGGGAGCAGACATGTCTCCTGAAGCGCGACTACATCTGACATTCCACAAATGTTCCTTATGTCATCCATTGACAGTCAGATCAGTTTTAAAAAGATAGTTTTGGACTACAAAATACTGTTCAATTGTACCGTAAACGATCGCAGCGCTTGGGCTACACGTGTTATTGAGACAAATGTTGCATTCATAATGAGTAGGCCCGTTTTTTTTTGATTTTTTTATAATCTAGGTTAACCTAAGTGCCTACACACTAAACACCACGTGTGAGACTAACATTGGCTTATGAGGCCTTTCTGCCGAATCGGAAGCGACCCTCTTTAGGGAAAAGGGGGCGGAGAAAGAAGGTCCGTCTTCTCCCGCTGCTTATATACTGTCAGGGAAGCGACTGAAATCCGGTTGCTGAGGCAAACTTACTAGAAAAGGCAGAAATTTATTAATGGGTGGGAATAATTGAATTTATTTTAAATTAAAAATTGAAAATATTAATATCTCGAATAAATATCAACCGATTTTCAAAATCCTTCTTGCTTTTTACTTTTTTTGAGATTCGAAAACTCAGAATTTTATTTTGGTGAGGTTTTGAAAAATCGGGTTAAATGAAATTATAGCGCAGCGATGCCAGAATTATCGAATTTTGGGGAAAATTATGATACAAATTGTAGTAAGTATACTCCAGCTCAAATTAACACTAATTCAAATTAAGGTTATATTGATGTATTTGAAGTTTGAAAACTTATAATTACTTTTTTTTTATTGGAGTACTCCTACGAAGGTTCGAATTGAAAAGTCAACCCGTAGTCAACAACGGGAGATCAGAGTTTGTATTGGGAAACAATTTAATTAATTTTATGTCATGTCCGCCGTCTTAGACTTCTAAATAACTGCCATTTTCGCAATCAAGGTCCCAACCAAACCTAAATAACGACACCCATGTCGATTATTGAGTTAATTTACCCCCTAAGGGGTGATTTTCGGAAAATCCCGAAAGACTTATTTGCTTATTTATTTTTGGGAGTACTTCTACGAAGTTTCGAATTGAAATGTCTATTTAATATAGTTTCGCCATACCAATTTTGAACCACCATTTTACCCCTTTAGGGGTTCAATTTCAAAATATCATTCCTTTTTCCTTATATACATCATAAAAGGGAAACTGTGCAAAATTTTAGCTTTTTAGGTCCAAGGGTTTGGGCTGGGCGTTGATGAGTGAGTCAGGGTTACACGATCACTAACAGACATCTTCGGTGTCTGTTAGTAATCGTGTAACATTTGAACGGCTTGACCAATTGCGTTTAAATTCACAAAATAGTCCATAGCTGGCGCCGAAGTTGGGTTGTCATTAAGTCCTGCTAAATTTCTTGATACTCGTAGTTCTTCCCAGGAAAGTGTTTTTTTCCGAACCAGTGGTAAAAACATAAACTATGACTTTTAATGAGTAGTTTTGTAATCTGAATTGAATAAACTATTCCTTTTGAAAATTGAAACTACTTTTGAAAATTGTAAAAATCCCGCTGAGTTCCTTTCTTGTCCACACTAAAACAGAGATTTCTGCTAAGACAGATATTTTTTTTACATTTAAAAATAATTTTTAGTGAATACTAGTATCACGGATGGCCGAAATCAGACTATTTAATTGATCAAGGGATTTATGGAAAAGTTATGTGTGCCTTCATTTAAGGCAACGTATACACATGATTATTTTCTCCGCACTTATTTTCTGTACCTTTTGAATGATGTAAGTTCATCCCTTTCTTTTATAATAAATGCTTGTTAAAAACGTACGACAATTTTCCTAGTTCACGTATTAATACATTAATATATATATATATATATATATATATATATATATATATATTATAGTTTTTGAGTGGGTCTCTGGATGGTTTAGTCACAATTGGACTCTGTAGGTGGCGCTATTATCGAGTTTCTATAATCACCCGTGCGAAACCGGGGCCAATCTCTATTTATAATAATATAATTTATTTTATTCCATTATATAGACCAAACGAAATACCTTGTAAGCCGTGTAAATTATACCATAAACAACAAAAATTTTTGGTAGCAACTTAAATCTAGTTAAATAACTATATGCTGAAATAAAGTATTAAGTTTATCCTATTATTTTTACAACTTGTCATTTTTGCCATGGCCGACCGAAAGCGAAACGAAGAGATTCGCAATATGGCAGGTATTGAGAGATGACCTTATCACAAAAATTGATAAGGGCGTGCTTCGGTGGTTTGGGCACGTTGAGCGAATGAGCGAAGACCGAATGGTGAAGAAAATATATAGCGCGAAAGTTAATATTAAAAGGTGTCGAGGTAGACCGAGACTAACTTTCGAAGACCATGTGAGCAAATTGCTCGAAGAGGGTAGGGTCAAAAGTACTCGGATACCTAGACGTGCATGCATGAAGAAGATAATGAATCTGAAAGAAGCGAAAGAGGTTTGTAAGGATCGTGACACTTGGCGATCTGTTCTCTCTGGCTACCCCGTCAGGGATTGTGCGTGAAGATAAGTAATTTGTCATTTTTGGACACGTAGAAAGAATGAATGACGAAAGAATAATAAAGCACATTTTTTGCTGGCTGTATCTCTACAGTACCAAGTAGAATAGTAGTCAATAAGTGGGTTGGAATGATTAAAAATTTTGCAGAAGTAACTGACAGAGCAAGGCACACCCTAGAAGTTATTCTTTTTCCATTAAAAACACATTATCTCCACACTAGGGTTTTCTCCTGTATAGTGACGCAGTTTCATCATCATCAACATCATTACATCCCTTCACAAGTCCATTGCTGAACGTAGGCCTCCCCGAAGGAATATCACAAATACAGTCCTGAGCCACCTTTATCCATCGACTTTCTGCATGTCTTACCAACAACTAATAAATTACTTTCGATATGTTTAACCATGTTTTGTCTAAGGGGTTTAGTATTTCGCAAAGAAACTACACTGTCCTGAATTTGGGGTAGAATATGTTGCGTTTGAGGTATACCAAATTTAAATTGTCGATTCGCATTAAAATTTGGTCGA